TTTGCATGAATTTTGCATAAAAAAACAAAAAATTTCCTCGCTTCGCGAACATCCATATTTGTTTTCAACTCTAGTACTCCACACACACTACAAGGCTTGCTCCAGACACTCGCACCAAAAGCATTTTCATGAATTTTGCATAAAAAAAACAAAAAATTTCTTCGCTTCGCGAACATCCATATTTGTTTTCAACTCTAGTACTCCACACACACTACAAGGCTTGCTCCAGACACTCGCATCAAAAGCATTTGCATTAATTTTGCATAAAAAAAAACAAAAATTTCTTCGCTTCGCGAACATCCATATTTGGTTTCGACTCTAGTACTCCACACACACTAATTACAAGGCTTGCTCCAGATACTCGCACCAAAAGCATTTGCATGAATTTTGCATAAAAAAACAAAAAATTTCCTCGCTTCGCGAACATCCATATTTGTTTTTAACTCTTGTACTCCACACACACTACAAGGCTTGCTCCAGACACTCGCGCCAAAAGCATTTGCATGAATTTTGCATAAAAAACAAAAAATTTCTTCGCTTCGCGAACATCCATATTTGTTTTCAACTCTAGTACTCCACACACACTAATTACAAGGCTTGCTCCAGACACTCACACCAAAAGCATTTGCATGAATTTTGCATATAAAAACAAAAAATTTCCTCGCTTCGCGAACATCCATATTTGTTTTCAACTCTGGTACTCCACACACACTACAAGGCTTGCTCCAGACACTCGCACCAAAAGCATTTGCATGAATTTTGCATAAAAAACAAAAAAATTTCCTCGCTTCGCGAACATCCATATTTGTTTTCAACTCTAGTACTCCACACACACTACAAGGCTTGCTCCAGACACTCGCATCAAAAGCATTTGCATGAATTTTGCATAAAAAAACAAAAAATTTCTTCGCTTCGCGAACATCCATATTTGGTTTCGACTCTAGTACTCCACACACACTACAAGGCTTGCCCCAGACACTCGCACCAAAAGCATTTGCATGAATTTTGCATAAAAAAACAAAAAAAATTTCCTCGCTTCGCGAACATCCATATTTGTTTTCAACTCTAGTACTCCACACACACTACAAGGCTTGCTCCAGACACTCGCGCCAAAAGCATTTGCATGAATTTTGCATAAAAAACAAAAAATTTCTTCGCTTCGCGAACATCCATATTTGTTTTCAACTCTAGTACTCCACACACACTAATTACAAGGCTTGCTCCAGACACTCACACCAAAAGCATTTGCATGAATTTTGCATAAGAAAACAAAAAAGTTCCTCGCTTCGCGAACATCCATATTTGTTTTCAACTCTAGTACTCCACACACACTACAAGGCTTGCTCCAGACACTCGCACCAAAAGCATTTGCATGAATTTTGCATAAAAAACAAAAAAATTCCTCGCTTCGCGAACATAGCAAAGGGTTTCAATTTTCCACACACATAGTCTATTACTCTGTTACTCCATTACTCTATTATTCTATTACTCTATTACTCTATTACTCTATTACTCAAATACTCTAGTACTCTATTAGTCTACTACTCTATTATTCTATTACTCTATTACTTCACTACTCGATTACTCATATTTGTTTTCAACTCTAGTACTCCCACAAAGTGGGTGTTTTCACCCAAACCCTAAACCCTAAACCCTACACCTTTAGACCCGAACAACCGTAAGCCCTAAACCCTAAACCTTTAAACCCTGAACCTCGGAAGTTGGCACCCTAAACTTTGTGGGCCCCGAAGCTGACCAATACTAGACCTAGAATCTTTAAACCCTAAACCTCGGTGTTCCATTTTGGCAGGTCCTCGAGCCGTGCCAGGAAGCCTAAACCATGAGCCCTAAACCCTAAACCGTGTTTAAGCCTCAAATTGAAACCCTCACATAATTCGCATTTCTGCCACAATCTTCCAAATATTTTGTTTTTCTTCAATAATCTTCCAAATAATTCATTTTTCTTCAACAATCTTCCAAATAATTCGTTTTTCTTCAACAATCTTCCAAATAATTCAACAATCTTCTTAAATCTTCGGTAGTGGCTGAGAAGTCCCCCTGCTGAGAAGTACCCCTAGGCTCATGAATGAATCAAGCTGGACGTGCGAAAGGCCTTCGACTCCATCAGCCAGACCTACCTCGGGGACCTTATTGCCACCAAGCTCGGGGACACACTACCATGGGAGGCCCGCACCTGGCGCGCGAGGGTTCCTCGGGGACTCCTCCCTGCCGATTTCCCAAACAAACGGGGTCCGCCAGGGCTCGCCTGACTCGCCCTCCTTGTTCTCCGCTGGCGTCGGGGAAGCCATCGACCAGGTCACCCAAGACCTTCGGGGAGTTCCCCGCCCGAGCGTGGATCCTATAAGCTCCCACCGGCACCACATGGCATCGGGGCGTTCATGGATGACACGTACATTTGGGGCTCCTGCCACGGCTGGATTCAGAAGTGCCTTGAGGCCATCGAGGTACGACTCAAGCAACGGGGGCTCGAAATAAACCCCAAGAAGACGATGGTCCTCTGCAGCCAAGATGGAGGTGAAGGTTTTGTCATCGGGGACCGCGCCGTGGCGGCCGACCCCCCCAGCGCCATCATGCCAGTACTGGGCTCCCCGCTCACCTTTGTGAACCAACCGGCTGCCCTTGTCTGCGAGATGCAACATAGGGCGCGTCGGGGCTACCACGCGAACAAGAAGATCCTCGCGCTTGCAAAGATTAAGCCAAGCTCGACGATCGGCTCAGATCATCGATCACTCTGATCAGAAGCGCGGCTCTGTGCGCCTGCCCCCAGACCTGGCCGATCTCCGACTACCTCCTTAAAGCTGCCAATAGCGTCCAATACCATTATATCCGCGAAATCATCGGCCGCAAACGGGGGCCACAAGAGGCGTGGCTGGCCTGGAATCAAAGGACGCTTCGAGAAGCGAGAATGGAAGTGTACAGGAACAAGTGCTGCGGGGAGTGGAGTGGAGTGGAAGGACGACCTAGATCCGAAGATCTGGCCTAACGCAAACGGCATCACCTCCGGCCCGAGGGCTTAAGGATCAAACCGTCAGAAGAGAAGGGAAAGAACTACCCTGAAGCCCAGCTGCAGTGACCGGTTCCAGCTGGATGCATACGCTTGTCGTCTAAAGACAGGCTAGTCGGAAGCAAGACTAAGACGACTGTGTTTTGTCATGCCCCGCGCAAGAGAAGCTGTCTGTCCGCTCCCTGCTGTTTGAGCGCACTGTCGGAGCGAACCAAGGCATCCGCCGCCACCGTCAGTTCCGCACGCAGGCTCGCGTCGTCAAGCACAACGGGCTGACAGAGGACGCGGAAGCTGCGCAACGCTTCTTCCAGGGATTTCCATTCTGGCGAGAGCCACCTGCGGAGGTGACGCCGGAGGCGTTGCCGAAAAGTGGATGCCACCTTGCTGCTGTGCAAACCAGCTCCTGGGGAGCAGCGACCGCGGAGGTCAACCACCAATGCGGTTAAGGCAGAGGGCGTCTCTGGCCCCGCTTGTCGCCAAGGAAGTGCCGCCCGCGCCCGCATCCAGGCCCAGTGACAGTCTGGGCACAGTATCACCGGGGCCTCCGCTGTGGGGAGAAAAAGCCGGTTGGCTCCCCTGTTCCAAGCACATGCCCCACGGAAATGTAATGCACAGCCACACGCTTGGCAATGTACTGCCGAGTCCTGGCGACACCACGGGCACATGCGAGCTGCAACTGCAGGTTGCATCTGGGCTCCACGACAGGTGATGCAGCACGAGATGAGAGGGGCAGGCAGTAAGCGCGGGCATTGACAAACCTGTGAAAGCTGCACCCGTGCCAATTCCCAAGGCAGACCATCGACCATCCAGGAAAGCTTGTCCCGCTGAGTGGAGGGAACACCAGCAGCAAGCAACATGTTGCGAAGCCTAGCATCAGAAGGCCGATACCCTGGTATACGACAGGCTCCACGAAGTCTGGCAAGGGCGACTTCCACTGGAGAGGCAAGCCAGCGCAGCTCTCTGAGTACCCCCAATCCTGCAGATGAGGCAAACCAGTCCAGGAATGCATCAGGGGCCGGGGCCGCCGGAAGGGGGAGAGGAGGAGCAGGCTGGATATTGGCATCCAATGCCGCCTCTGTAGCATCCGCCCAGGCAGCGATGCGCTTGAGGTATTCAGCACGTATGCTACGAAGACCGAGAAATAGCAAGCGAAGGACGCTAACCCCCGCCCCAGCGACGGATGTAAGCTTGCTGAGGCTGCGCGCTACATCCTCCGAAGCGCCATGCATGTCTCGGGAGGAACTAAAGGACTCATCAGCCAGGGGGTCCGGATCGTCAGGCTCGTCATTGGAAGCTGCAGTGGCTGTACGTGTGATGAAGCGTCCCAATGCAGCTGGAAGGACTCCACGATAGGCCAGATCAGTACCAGATTCCATCCGAGTGGGTACTGCACTACTCCCGGCTGCATCCGCGGCAAAATCCGCGATTTCGGTTCGCATGGGCACTAGCCACCTCCAAGCAGTGAGGATGGGCCAGCGCGTGGCGTCTTCCGGGGTGGGGGACTTGGGGGAGGCAGGCAGGCGTCTAGCGGCTTCAAGGGAGTGCTGTGCAGCACTACCGAAGCGAACAAGCTCAGCTTCGACATCGTCCAGGAAGTGGTGGACCATAGGGCGCATGGCAGGGCATGACATAACCACGTGGCGAGGTGTTCCAGCGAGCTGTAGGCATAGCGGGCACGTTCTGGCAGAGGTGTTGGCAAAGTCGGCCCAGCGAAGAGCTAGCTTCTGCAACCTCGTATCGGAGTGCAGTCTTTCTGTCCAGCCACCGCTGGCGCGCAAGCATCTGTAGGCGAAAGCAGAAAGATCCACAGTGCGGCGATCGCTGGGTAGGAGCCAACGTGCCCAGTGGTTGGGCACTGTAAAGGAAACATACAACCGCAAGTCCAGTCCTGGCAGAAAGGCACCGGAAACTGAAGCAATCTTACCCTGTACAGGGCGAAGTTTCCATTTGTCCCTTGCCTCTTGGCGGAGGAGTTTGCGAGTGAAGTTGCGGCAAGTGTCCGTGACCGCTCGCCCCTTGTATGAGAGTTGGAATGCTAAGCCACTGGAGGGCCACCAAACATCCGGCGGCTGCGGCAGACGGTAGGCGTGACGACAACCTTCGTCTTGTCTCTCATTGCCCTCCACGATGACGGGCGCCGGGGCAGTGGTATTGGCTTGATGACTGCGAACATGAACACCAACGAGGCCAAAATCGAGAAAAGGGATACTGCAAAGCGACGCCGAACGGCCTTGTACATTGCCCTGAACGTGCCAGGTCTCGGGAGCAGTGAGCTGATGCGCTCTCCAGAGCGGCGTAGGGGCATGATCCCGCCAGGCACTTGAAAGTTCCCCGGTGACCGTGTGTACCCGGGATACCAAATGAAGGCATGGGGAGGAAAGGATTCTGTTCTGTTTGTGGACATTTTGCTGCAATAAGGGGAACAGTGAGGCTCTATCCAGTACTAGGAGGTTCCAAGCACCAGGACGACGCCAACGGAGAGCAGCAAGCATGGCCAATAGCTCAGCAGTGTGGACCGTGGTGTGCTCCCAACCGTACCTAGCAGGGAGTCGCACTGCCAGTTGTGGGCCTGCTGCCGATGCCGTGTTCCAGTAATGAGGACCCGCGAAGGCTCTCGCCTGGCATGCAGCCACGGTGGCTTCTCCGTTGGCCCCGCCGTCCGCAAAAAGGCCAATATCGACGTTGGGTAGAATCTGCTGTTTGCTATCCAGGTGTTGGCTTCGCAGGTCATTACTGGGGTCTTGTGGATGCTCCCAGGCTGCCGCAGACCAGTCTTCAGCAATCGGCAAATGATGCACCCCGAAGAGCTCACACTCAAGGGCCCAGTCGGCACAGGAACGTGCCAGGCTCGCAGTAGTAGCAGCAGCACATTGCTGCGGTGAGGCCGGACAATTCGCCGGCAGGTGAAACCAATGCGCAGGGTCTCCCCATTCAGTGTCCGCAATCCCATTGTTGCGGAAATGGAGCAGACAGGAACGGACAGCGTTAGCAAGGCGACCCACTCTGCAATAGGGCAACATGTTGGTATGCTTGCGTTGTTCGAAAGGTCCGATGAGGCCAGGAGGTCGGTGCCCCTGCAAATCTGCTAGATGGTCAAGAATTCTGCAAACAGTGCGATCCATACTCGAGTTGACAAAGATACCGTAGCCAGCTAGATGTCGCAGTGCACGTACAATCATGTAGTCGCATTGCTCTGCCGCCTCCGGCGCCATGGACATCGCCTCTTTTAAAGCGTCCCTAGCTAATTGTCCAGCCGGGGACAGAGAGGACAGCAATCGCATAACTTCTGCCGCCACCGATGCCAATGATCCCTCCACCGCCGAGAACAACTGCAGGCCCCCAACGGACCGCGCTGCCAAGAGCCCCACACGCTCCGCCGATGAACGTACATGAAGCGCACGAAGGAGATGTTGTTGAACCGCAGAATCGTGTCTGTGTAGAGCTTGCGGATGGGGTATCCCCACCAAAGGAGCGTAGTTGAGGTACCCTGCTGCATATACTTGGGCTCCCAATATTAGCTCATCCCAACTGAAACGCCGCGCTGAGAATCCTTGTAGGAGCTTGTCCAGTTTAAGCAGGATGTCTTCCGCCGCTGCCGAGTGACGATCCAGAAAAGTGCCCCTTTTTCCCAAAAGGAGCTCTTCATCTGTGTCCCTGGCTCTGGGCAGAGTGGTGACGAGTTCCGCTCCTGCCCAAATGTCGTAGCCTGAGACCGGTATGCCTTCTGGAGTGAATCCGGCCGCTTGCCCCTGAGGTGATGCCGCCACGATGTCCCAATCCGTGGCAAAGGCATGGAATTTGTCCCATGCAAACCCAATGCCCGTCAACTGGCTTCCTTTAGAAAGATCCTGCAGCAACTGCGGCAGCTGATGGCCCGCATAAGCATAATGCTCGCGCATCATCCACATAACCGGCCATAGGCACCCGCCGACCCGCTGACGAGACGTAGCAGGCCGTGCTATTCTCGCGCAAGCGCAACAGCGGATCTTGGGCGGGTTTGGACAGTTCCGGGGATGAGGCTGCTCCCTGGGGAATACCGCGATGGCAGTGAACCGGGTCGGACAGGCCCCATTTGGTGTCCACCTGAATGGTGAGTCCCTGGAAGGCTGCCTGATATAGCTGGCGGATGGGGTCCGGTAACCCACGTGCTTGCTGCACAGCGTCGACCTGGTGCAAATTGACCGTATTGAAAAATTTTTCAAAGTCTGCGGGAACCCTTGCCAGAGGGAGATGATGAGCCAGGGAGTCTTCGCACACCTGGACATCCAGGTAAAGGACATCTGAGGCCGCAGACTGGCCGGGTTCGTACGCACGGTTCCAGGCACTGAAGACGGAGCCAGCTGTGAGGAACGCACGAGCCGAAACCAAGCGATGAGTGACCGGACCTTCTATGGCCTTGAAGGCCTCCTCAAGCATCGTCAGAGGCCGCCAGCCGCCCTTAGGTTTGGGCATGTTGATCTGCACAGCGGTTTTCAGCGAGGGCGCGACTGATCCAATAGCACGTTGGGTGTCAAGAGAAAGCCAAAAGATGTCTTGGACCCACCCAGGGTAGAAATGCAGATAGCATAACTTCCATCCAGAAGGTCCAGGTCTGGAGGACGACATCTTGGACAACCACCGGGATCTTTCATGTGCAGTGAGCGGCCCCAGACAAGAAGGGGTAGGAAGAGCTTGGGGACGCAGAAGAAGCAGGCAGTGCGTATCTTGTGGCGGAAGAGCGAGCCACTGCCGTAGGGTCCAAAGATGTGCGGGCTGCCCATTGATATGCACCACACATTGTACCTGGCCTTCGCAAGGACCGAGAAGCTTGCCCTCCCACAGTCCCCCGACTCTCCGAAACCGCCATATCTGGATTCGAATCTCTTGCTCCACCAAACATTGGACCTCAGAACCCCGAAATACACACCGACTCCACGGTCCAGGGCACAAAAGGGCCTGAAGCACATCTGGCGGTACCTGGACGTCATGTGTTTTCGGGCTGCCCCGCAAGAATCCTGAGGGGTCCGTCCAGGTATGCACCAGCTCATGCGACCACGGCCGAGAAGGATGGTCAAAGAGTTTTTGCCACTCCTGCGCAGCAGCCTTACGCATTTCCGCAGGGGTCTTGGGACGGCGAGTACCACTGGCGGTGGTGATTTGTTGCGGAGTGTAGGCTTGGCGCTTGTATGCTGGTGTACGCCAACAGCGAGCCCAGCGTCTGAGATCACCTGAGCGTAGCAAGTGGACCCTCCTTTCATGTCCTTCACGGGCCTGGTGCGCGGCGGTTTTGGCTCTCAGTGTTTGGGCTTCCTGTATCCAAGCTTCTACTAGGAGAATGCGGTCTGCGGTCTCCGTGGCAGAAGGTGCCCAGTGCAAGTTCCGCGCAACCGCATCAACCGCCGGTTGACAAATGTCGGGGGGGCGTAGCTGAGGAGCACCTGGCGCAGACAAAGAGGATAACCAACGATCGAGTTGAGTATGAAAACCATCCCAGTCCCATGGGTCCCGTTGTATCGTAACTTGTCCTCGCTTATCCAGGAAATGAAGGCCTTGACGCCACTTGACATCAGCGCGGTTCAATATGGAGTTGGCGGTCTCCAGGTCATAAGTTTCCGAATCGATCAGGATGTGCTTGAGAGAGCGAAGCAGAGCCAAACATGTGTCCCAGGCATTTTGGGCCCTGCCCAGCTTCCGGTCCATGCTGGGTTGGTTCGTCGTCGGCAGAGTTTGATGCAAGATTGCCATGATGGAGTCATGTGCTTGGTGAACGCGAGAGCACAACACCTCTCGCAGACTAAGAGCTGGCGTCTGCCCGTGTACCATTCCGATTTCGGACAATGTTGCATGCGAAGTGCCGCCGTGTGTGGATGCCTCTGTGAGATCCGCTGCAGCTTGCATAAGTAGGGGGCGATGTGTGTCCATCTGGGCCTCTACTTGTGCCCTGAGTGCCTGCAGGTTATGGCCATGAGCCATATCAGCCAGTTTTCGCCACCGAGGTTGTTCACGATCTGATGAGGCTGCTGGGACAGTGGGAATGTCAATGCCCAAGTCGATGAGAACCGGATGGTGATCCACTCTCTTGTGCCAATTCCAGAGCAGTGCCGAGTTGAGAACAGGTGTATGGAATCCGATGGCAGGGAGGATCCAAATGGAGTCCAGGCGGCTAGCGCTGCCTGTGGGAGAGACATAAGTAAAACCGGGAAGTGTGGGATGAGAGTCTCGCCAGGTATCAATAAGACCCATTTCGCGGCATTGTACGGCTAGGCACTCGTCTCGAATTTGCCATTGACCCTGCCACTTATCTAGAGCCCCGTCGGTAAAGGAGTTCAAATCACCTAAAACCACCAGAGTCCAGTCTTTTGCTTGAGCCATGGCCACTTGCTGTTGCAGAAAGGTGACGAGATCAGTTTCGTGCTGGACGGCCCTGAGGTTCTGAGTGAAGCCTGGTAGACATGCGCCTGTCGGGCCATAGACCGCGACTACCCGGAGCACAGCCCCGTTATGCAGACGGATGGAGCCGCCCAGCGCTCGACCATGTGGTCCGGGTGTGACCTCTGTCCAATCAGCGGCCACCTCGCGCTTGATGGCCAGCGCTACTCCAGAGCCAAGCGGATTGTCTGTACGTCTGTCGGCATTGGAGACGTTATGGGAAATGCAGAGATAACCGGCATCCCACATGCCGTTGATTGCAGCGTTGTGTGCGGAAGCAGCAATGTCTGCTCCTAGATCCGACATGGCCTCCGCCCACCACGCTCCCCAGGCATACCTGTCCCTCCCAATGCCACCAGTTTGCAAAGCTGCCAGACGAGAGACCTGACTGCCCTTCCACGAGCAGTCGTGACCAAGTGGGATACCAGTGAGCCGTGGGAGGACTGTGATGCTACCCACCGCTGCCTCCAGTCTATCCGGAAGCGGCTCATCATTGTCAGCATCGGCTGGCTCCATCATGACCAAAGCCGGGGGGAAACTAGCTAAGTCTCCGGCAGGCGAAAAGAGGAGACGGCGGCGAAGCAAAGCGGCAGCAGCAAGAGGGTGCAGACAAGGGCAGCAGAACAAAGGACGCAAAACAAGCCAAACGAACGCTTAAGGACAGCGGATGATGAGCGAGCAGTCGCTGCGGCCAGCGGCCATGGGCCCAACCAGGCCGCGGAACATCGCAGGGCGATCAAGGATGAAAGCAACCAAAAATCAGGAATTGTACACCCGACAGGAGACCAGCACAACGCTAGACTGAAGGGAAATTAAACGAAAGGATATTGGCATTGCACTCCGGGCATCGGCACTCCGCATCATTTGCCGAGTAAATTGAGTCCATCTGTTCTACGCGTGCAAGCCAACGCTCAAGACAGGCAGCATGTACAGCATGTAGGCACAGCGTGATGGCCACCTCCTCCCCATGTCCAAAAGGCGACCTGCACACTGCACATTCACCATTGCGTGGCACTGCAGGAACATGTGCGAGGGCAACTCCGCGTGACTGACCCCGCAGGACCACTGAGATCTGACGGTCCCTGATGGTCTGTGCACCGTCAGCAATGTCAACCGAACGATGCGTGTCTGTTGCTCGTTCAACAGTATCAGCAAGATGACCAGCAGGAGGTGGAGTTGGTCTTGGAGTGGCACCTGTTGCTGGCTCGGCTGCACCAATGCTTGAATTGGAGTTCTCCGGGTGGGAAGATGTTTCCATATGCTCTGGCTGGGCTGGGAGAGGATTGCTGATGTTCCGCACCGCTCGGGGCACTTCCGGGAGGGCTCGTTGGGCCAAGCTCAACCTGACCGTACCATGTGGGGTTTGTAGCGATAAGGAGCGGGAACTGCCCGACCATGGCACACCAGAGTGCTGGGCAAGCTCCTGCATCACCATCCTCACGGTCGGGACCTCCGCAAATTGCGGATGCGCCAGCATTGTAGTGATCCCATGTTGCGCTGCACCCGGTGGGATCTGAACGATGTCGGCTGCCAGGTTGGCAAGGGTGGTGGACATTTGAAAGACGGCATTGAGGGCAAGAGCCGATTCTTCCAGTCGGATACCTCGAACAAGAAACCCTACGGGTGGTGCGGAGTTGGAAGGGCTTGGTGCCGGCGTTAGAGACGGGGGGGGCGGGTTGGAGGAAGTGGTGCCATGGCCGCGTCCTCGACGGCGGCTTGATACTGGGGGTCGGTCCTCACGATGATGCACGGCTCGGCGTTGACCTGTGCTAGCTCTCGAAGTACGACGTAAGGGTGTTTTGGAACGGGAGGAGGCGCGTTGTGTGTGACGGCGTCGTGGCTGGGAGTCCGGATGGGCTGTACGCGAGTAGTAACCGGGCACACCAGGCTCCGACCAGAGACCGACCACCCCAGGGTCCTGACCAGCTCCTGCGTAGCCTTGGCTAGAGCCGCGCTGCCTGCGCGTAGGCCGGGGACTGTCCCCGAAGCGTGCCACTCCAGGGCTTGCTGCTCTGCGACCACCGCGTGCACCAGACGCGAACCCAGAGTGTGATCCTGATCGGCGTTCATCGAAGGAATCTCCAAGTACTGGGGCGAAACCGTCCTCAAGGGCTCGTTCGGCGAGTGCCAAGCCGAGTCGAAGGGCTCGTGCTGGTAGATCCATGATTGTGGGAAGGGCCGTATGGAGTGCGCGAAGGTCTACTTGAATGCCTGGGGTACGCCACAGCGAGAAGGTTGAAGTTGCAAGCGAATATTCTGCTGATGGGATGCAGAGCTGCACTGTTGACATCACAATTGCAAAAGACGCCGTCCTAATGCACTCAGCCCTCAATGGCTAGCTTGCTTTTCCTGCGCATCCCGCTTCGGAGCTTCTGTCTTGTAATGACAGCAGCAACGCCGAGTGAACAGCATTCCTGTCCTAGGACAGCCCGATAACCGCCAGTGTTGATTTCACAGTAGCGACGTTCTTACGAGAGTGCTCGGTTGACTAGCCTAAAGGCCGCGGCCCCGGCACTCTGCGTGTCCGTGTTGCAATGACAACATCTGCTCTGAATGACTGGCCTTCCTTGTCTAGGACCGCCCGTAACCGCCAGTTTGATCTCACACTAGCGACGTCCTTGCGAGAGTGCTCGGTTGACTAGCCAAAAGGCCGCGGCCCCGGCACTCTCATGGAAGCACTGAACGGCTATTCGCGATAACAACATGAATGAAAAAAATAAATAAAGAAATAAATATATGCCGCGTAGGGGTAGGGGTCTGTCTTGCAGCCCCACAGTGCTGCTGCTCACAACGGAGTACTGCAGAGTGAGCTCATCAGATGAAAAGTTGCGCAAGCAGTGTGACATGTTCAACTGCCGCTGTAGAGAACACTCCGCCAGCTGGTGCTATTTTCCCCGCAGCGAATCACATGGCCTGAAGACGATTGCGACTGCATGCACCACATCGGAACAAGATCATTTGAGCCTGCTGAACAGTGTTCAATGTTGGTGACGAGCTTTGATTGTTGGAACCAAAAATTCATGATGCTCAGGGCTTAGGCGTTGCGAACTGCTCTACGGCAGGCTCTGTCAGGTAGTCTGCCACTGCCGTTTTACTCTGCGGAAGTATCTCGCTTGCTTCCTTCTTTACGTAGAGACGGACGACGGTCTCATGCTGCAGTTTCATAGCACGGCCACCGCCTTGCAGACATCGCTGGTTCTTCTGACCGCGGTTCAAGGCCAGCAAAAGAAGCCAGCCCAAAACATATTGAAAACAAAAAAAAAGGAGAGAGGACAACAAGGCGGACAAAGCAACAGCACCACGAACGAACAAGGGCGACGAAGCCGAGCCGAGCGTGCAAACGACGACAGCGGGAGGAAGGCGTGGCCACAGGCACACGCGTCCACCCCCCCGCTGCAGAAGACCTAAGTACGCAGGGCACGAGCGGCGACGCGGACCACGAGCGCGCGACGGCAGCGGGGGGAGGGCGTGGCCCAAGGCACACGCATCCAACCCCCCGCTGGCAAGACCTAAGTAAGCAGGACGAGCGGCGCGAAGCAAAAACGGCGAACGCGCGACGACAGCGGGAGGAAGGCGTGGCCACAGGCGCACGCGTCCAACCCCCCGCTGCAGGAGATCTGAGTACGCAGGACGCGGACGGCGACGCGGACGACGGACGCGCGACGACAGCGGGGGGAGGGCGTGGCCCAAGGCACACGCATCCAAACCCCCCGCTGGCAAAGACCTAAGGAAGCAGGACGAGCGGCGCGAAGCGAAACGACGAACACGCAACGACAGCGGGAGGAAGGCGTGGCCGCAGGCACACGCGTCCAACCCCCCGCTGCAGACCTGAGTACGCGGGGCAAGTACGCCGACGCGGGCCACGAGCGCGCAACTACAGCGGGGGGGAGGCGTGGCCAATGGCACACGCGTCCAACCCCCTGCCAAAAGAGACCTGAGTACGCAGGGAACGCGAGCAAGCCGCAGCAGTGCGAGACGCACGAACGACGCGAGGCAGAGCAGAACGAAGCACGACGGCAGCGACAGGGGACCACCAGACAGACAAGACAGAGAAAAACCAAGAAAAACACACCCGGACACGAGGGAACCTTGGCAGAGAGAAAGAAGAAAGAAAAAAAAAAAAAAAAAAACACACACACACACACTCACACACTAACCAGCCCCATCAGAGAGCGACGCACCGGCAGCAGGGCCTTCTGGAGGCAGCCTAAACCGAGGAAACAAACGCAAAAAAAAAAAGGACCAGAGAGCCTAGAACCAAGAACGAGCAGAAACGGAAGACCAAGCAAACCCACTCAACACTCCGAAAATCCTGAAAGCCAGATGCACACTTGGAAGCCACAATGCGATGGTTTTCGTCTGAAGCGGCCCCTAGGCAAGGGGGGGCACAGATCTGAGTGAAACTCACAATGCCTGTTCCGGAAGTTAAGCTTGATCCAACAGCCCAGCCATAGTGCAGTTAGCGCAACCAGGCAAGGTCCGCGCTCTAATGTCCGCTTGCTGCCCACCCAACCTACGGCCGCTCTTCCGAATACTCAGTATCTGTTGCTTCAGGCTACGTGCTCTGAGGATCTGCTCCCGGGTGGGTGCCCGCTGTAGCATGTACCGTGGTACAGTGCCCCACAGCACCCGAGTATTGGTTGTGAGCCTGGAGACACTGCCGCCTCTGACCAAAAGATCCGAAACAATGACGCTTCCTGCTCCAAAAGCTTTGTGTGCCCGTCCGGGCACTTGAAACTCCAAAGCCCCGCTAAGAATGATCCACACCGAAAAAACTGCAGTGTTGCAGGCCAGCTGGTGGTGAAGGGGCCACTGAGCACCAACTAGGAGAAGCGTGGTAAGCGGGCCCCAAAGGTGCAATGTTGACTTGACTTTGCTCCGTGCTGCCTTGTACAGGTGGGCAGCTAGGTCTTTGATAAACACCCTGGAAAGGGTCGCAAAAATGGTGGCATCTTGCGTTCGGAGGCGTAAGCCTCGAGCGGTCCATCCAAGGACTCTGTCCGGGCCCGTGCATGACAGGTACAGATCGTGCAGCACCTTGTTGTCAATCTGACTCCATTGCAGAGAGGGAGGGCGTAACTTCCGGGGGCCTTGGCTTTGGATTGGCGGGGAACCCGCCAATGTGTCGCAAGTGCGAATCGATAATCCCACGCCTGGCGCATTACGTTGCTCTCTAACCTGCTCCAAGAGGTCTCGAACCTTCTCGCCACCATCAGAGGCGACCCACTGCGATTCCCACAGATTGACGAAAACACCTTCCTGTTGAATGAGCACGAGATCCGGCAGTTGGTATCCAAAAGATGTGTTACCTGGCGCGAGGAAGTTCGTCATCCACAAGGGCCATGGTGACACCTTGTGTACTGGCAGGAGACAAGGCTGAAGAGCATGCTGCACAATGTAGTCGTGCAGGAATTCCGTGTTGCTCAGCCACAAAGAATGGTTTCTGTCCCTGGCAATACTGTTGCGGCCGGCTACCCATTGTTGTAATTTTTTGTTCCAATAACGGTGAAGCGTCAAGG